CACATTCTTGACCTCTACCCACTGCAATGACCAGCAAATTTGACGTTAAAAACACTTCCACTACAGATTCACTTAATCAAACAGAGAACTGCACATTTTTAATGATCATCTTAACACTAGGACTATCACAAACAGCCATTTTTGTTCTCAAACGTATATGTGAATTATCTAAAAATTGTTTTAGTTGTAGAGCTCTGTTATATTTAAATACTGTAGTATTCCTAATATTGTAAACAATATTTCAATTCAGTATTCCTAATGTTAATCATTATATTCACACTTTTTACTATTTAAAAATTAAATTTAAAGAATTTCTATTTACTTTACATTTTATCCATTACACCTTGTTTCATGAACTCGCCGCCTGCCAATATTGCTTATTTCAAATAATTGAACCTGTTGCCAAAAAAAAATTTGAAATTTCAGAAAAATATAAGTTTTTCTTTATTTTTATTATGCCCGCTGTTGCCTTAAAATTTCCAAAAATAAGAAAAATATATTTCCTCCTAATTATATAAATTTAAAGCATTTTAAATTTTATTTCTATTTTTTTCTTCGCCCTCCTCTGATGATCAGTAAAAAAAGTTCGCGAAACTAGGTAAAAAAGTCTAGCCTTGTCAATCATGTAAATCATTTTATTTAAAATTTCTATTCTTTTTATCCGTTTCATATTTTTATCAAAGGTAAAAGAAAGTCTCGCTATGTCAATCATGTAAATCATCTTATTTAAAATTTCTTTTTTTTATGCTTTCTTTTTATTGTATTTCCAAGTATGTGAGTGCGCCAAATGATCAGCTTTGCTGGATGGGCCGCCTTCTATAACTATGGTTTTAAGTAAATTAATTAACTAATTAATTAAGTTATCAAGTTCTTTAGAAGGACAATTCGATATTTAATATTCAAGTTTTATTTACGATTTTTAAGACAGTTTCTTTAATGTCAGTTGAAATTTACTGAAATGTGCCAAAAGACAGCTTTAATTCACTCAAGCCTTAATATCGGTGGCCATGCATACGAAATACCCATAATAGTATACGACAGAGCGCAAGACTGTGCGGTACATACATTTTCAGAATGCAATGCAATGAAGCAATCGTAGTTTTTTGCTTGTTTTAAACCTGTTAAAGGCGACCAACAGTAAAGTTACCGTTTCATCTAATAAAATATCTCAAATTACACGTGCCATAGTCACATACTATTAAATATACTCATTTTAATTATCATTATTATTATATTTATGTTTATATTTTTATTACTCAAAATAAAATTTAATATAAATTAGGATTATGATTTCATGGGAAAAATATTAATTTCTCAAAAATATCAACATAAAAATTATTTGTAAGAAAACACAGTGATTGAATGAAAAACAGATATAAATAACAATTATTTTTTTATGACAGACAAAATGGAACCAACTTTTTTAGTACATCAAAATTCTCATGTTTAGAACAGGTGGATAATTATATCAATAAAGATTGATACTAAAAAGAAGTAATGATTAATAACAGTAAAAATATGATAACAATATTCAAATATAAAATATAAATATAATGATAACCATGATAATAAAAAATAATAAAGTAAATTGTGACATCATCATTTTACCTTCAACAACAAATAACCAAAAATAAAAAAGATACTAATAATAACAATAATAAAACCAACTCTTTTAATAATAAAATATATTACTATTATCATTGTACTAATATAAATAAATGAGATGATATAAATAATAGTAACAATAATAGTAAAATTATAATATTTAATGCAAATATTATTCTGAAAACATAAATAATGATATATCACAAAAAAGTCTGAGTTCAATTACCAAGTCGCTGTCTAGAAAATGTTCATAAAAATGAGAAAACTAAGCTAAGTCTGAAAAGCATACTCGATGCATAATTCCGATTAGAATAAATGTGGCGTTCAATGTTGCATATTCCTCATGACATACTTCAACGGCAAATAATGTTTTGCATCGCACGCAAGAGATACAGCTAATATGCACATTAGGCTGATGCAATAGAGCACACCTTGATAAACCGTGGATATGGAAGAGTATCAGGCAAGCATAGTATTACGTTATTATAATCGCATTTCATGATTAGAAATTTTGGCATCCCTCCCCACAATTGGATATTTTGACATTGAATGCAAAGAACATTACACTTATTTCGTAATAATAATAATGTTTATAATAACATCATCAATTATTGCCATATGTAATAAAAATATGTTATATTCCCTAGAAAAATTATTGTTACTATCACTACTATTTTCATAATGATAATGATATCTCTAATTATCGACTAAAATTATTTTAATGTCAAAAACAATAACACCATATCATAATAATTCATAATGCATTTATGAAGGCGCAGTTAACTCAAATTTTACATCAAAATTATTACCTTATACTTCATATTAATAAAATAGCATAGGACAATTACCTACAAAGGTATTTTTCAAACCTTTATACAATAAAATTATACTGGATCAATAATAATTTTACTAATGTTATCAATATTATCAGTATATACCTGTATATACCGTATCATGTATGGGTATTTCTGTATAGCATTTATACTTTTACTAATCTTGTTTATACTTTTTTATTTATTACTGTACATGTTTTTAAACTTTGTAAAATTGCCAGTGCAAATTAATTTTTGATTTTCCGGACAAAAAATTTATCTTGTAACAAAAATTAAAATTTCAATTATTTATTTATTGTTGCACATACAGTGTTCACAACAAACTGTCCCTATATGAATGATATAGGTCTATGATGTACGATGTATGATGTAATACAGCATTTTCCTTTGTTTATTTTTTTACTTAAATATATACTTTTTGCAGTGGCATATCAATGGGGAAGGGGGAGCGGGGGTGCACACCCCCAAAAATTAAAAATAAAACATAAAATAAGAACAATTGCATTTTACCTTTCATAAACATTTTAACCTTTTTACAGAAGGCAGTAATTGTTTGGTTTTGCTACCTGCTCATCTTGTAAAAGAGTCTGCAATACATTTGTTAGGCCTCTTTTCAATATCATGTTGTCTCTTTTATTTTATATTATACTGAACTTGAACTGTGTATAACCTTTAAGAATGTGCACATAAATTTATAAGGCAAAAAAATGCTTCTGTTGATAAAAAACACTGACATATTATATTATTCATGGTTGGTTGGTAATTTATTTTTAACGACTGCAACACGCCTAATTCTAGGCCTAATATTTCTTGTCCTTTCTCTTCCTCTTCCTCATCTGTTTCTCCATCATCTCTTTTGTTTTTATTATTTCTTTCCTCTTTTCCTGCACCTTCATAATCACTTTTCTTATGTTCATCATCTTCCTTTTTTCATATTCATTATTATACTTACCCTCATCACATTTTATTTCTTCTAATACTATTATTATTATAATCTCATTCATTTTTATTATCCCCCTTCTTCCCCCCCCCCCTACACTTTCTTCTACATCATAATATTTGTTTAAACCAGCTCTTTTTGGGCCATACTAAGCCATAACAAATTCTCCCCATGAACCCTACCAAGAATTTATATTCCATGACACTGACCAAGACTCTAGTCGGCCCTTTGGTCCAAACCCTGCTGTCGGACATGTCCGACCCCGTCAGAAAATCTCTGGATCTACCACTGCTTTTATCACCACATCTTTTTTCACCATCTCTTTTATCACCATCTATTTTTTCACCATCTCTTTTATCACCACCAATTTTTTTACCATTTTCTTCCTTATGTTCTTTTTTATTATCCTTTTCTGCATCATCTATTCTTGGTTTACTTTTGTGTTGTTCTTCATTCTGCATTTCAATGTTACATTGTTTCTTTTCTCATATTTATTACCCTTTTAATTCGACTGCTCTTCTCATTTATCTCCATTAGTGTCTTCTCTCATCTTCATTCTTCTTCATATCATTTTTAAACATCATTTTGTTCATTCTAAATGCCCCCTCCTCATTCATCTCCTTCACCACTGTCTCTCTTATTCTCATTTCTTATCGTTTTTCATATTATTTTCGCAACAATTCTCCTTCACTTTATCAGCTTTATCTTTTTCAATTCTATATCACATACTTCATTTATCTACATCATTACATTCTCTCCAATTCCCATTTCATCCCCTTTCTCAACTTCAGCTTTTTAAATCTCCTGTTGTTTGCATTTATCTACACCATTATCTTCTCTTATCTTTTTTAGAACAGAAATAAGCTGCATTTAAATGCATGTAATTTAAGACCAAACATTCATATACAGCTATGACAGCTATGAATTACGATCCTTATCGACGCAGACACTGTATTCCTTTACATTATTTCACGATATTACCTATAACAAGTGGATATTTTACCTCAGCTGTCTACTACAATGCAATTTATGCGCATATTATAGCGAGCAAACAAGAGGAATGAAACATTTCGGATCAGTTTAAAATAAAAGACAGACGCAGATATGACAATGAAAGTGTGATATAAACACTAGTGAAAATTAATAATGAATTGGATGTGTAACACTAACATTCATTACAATTTCACAATTTAAAATCACTAGTAAACAAATTTTTAAATTCTCTCATTTCAAGATGGCAATGAAGGGTGTGGCAGTATGAGGGCTCACTCCATCCTTTTGAAAATATGTAACTCTTTCAAATATAAAATGCACACATTTTTGTAGTAATTCCTGTGTGACTAGGCAAGGACTGGGTGGGAAATAGAATGTGAGATAGGGTGGGGTTTGAGAAGAGGACTAGGCTGGGGAGCTTGTCTTATAGAGTACAACAATTTGTCGTCACAACACCAGATGGCGCCCTTTGTTGTCAACCAGTTGTTGGTTACCGCTGGTAAAGTGGTCATTACACCTGAATGAGTTCATAATCTTAATGGTTTAGAGTAGGCTTTCTGGAATAGGCATTTTAAAACCTAATAACTTACCATCAAAATGTACTAAAAATACATCGCATTACATTAGTTATCAAACACATATTTAATCATCAATTAAAATTTACAAAGAAAAATTATGATCTTAATAATTACGTTAGAAATTGGGATCAATGGTTTGTCAGTGAAGACAATGGATCCGACTTCATTCTGAGTAGCTGATAGAGTATTATCATGTGGTATTGACATAACAGCGTAGTACTCTAGAGCAAACAATTGTTCTCTCACAGGATTCCTGCATATGATGCATAGAATGCCTATCGACACTTTTAGAAAAAATGTAAAATTATTTGTCAGCTCAATAACCCAGTCATGATTGATGGGCTTCGGGAGCGTAAGTGGATGAGGAGTGGCCGCTACAAGCCCTCGGAAAAGTCCGGAAAAATCCTCGGAAGCTATGACAAGTTAAGGACATGAATGGCATATATTAATAGTAAACATGCTGCAGCACTCATTGGCAATTTTTCTATTTTTATTTTTCAGCCAATAACAATGACACACGGCAATGTATTTACGCTAAAACAAAATAAGCTCTTCGTAACCTATAATAGCAATACAACACTAACACATACTTTTGCAATCAAAATGATATTCCTAGGTTTACCCAGTGGCAGCACCAGCCTCTGAAAATTAGGGGGAGGGGGAGCAAGTGAGGGCCAAGTTCCCCGACGAGAGCAAAGTGGAAGTGGTCGGGGTTTCGGAGGGTTATCTAAATAGAACTTTGTTATTTGTTATTTAATCGATTTTATAGATACTGTAGATAGTCTACTAATATCTATAAAATACTTATAATTTTTTTTTCTCCCCAACGAATTGTGGTTTTCCTTCTTTTTTGGGGAAGAACTGGGGGGAAGGTAAGCCAATTTTTTGGGGGGAAAATTCCCCTTTGCCCCGCCACTTGGCCTACCATATATTCTTGTACAATATTCAATCATTATCATGAATAAAATGATTGTTCGTTTCAATAAACAATTATTTTCGTTTTTATTTAAAATGCAAACAAAAATAACACAGTTGTAGATACGAGAAAAAGACCATTATAGAATATGAGACTCGCTCCACTTTGTATTTATTGAAGTAAACTAGGGTTTGCCTTTGAACTCTTAACCAATCTCTGCGATTCCTCATGCGAGTGGCGTGGTAGTGACGTCAGTAGAATACAAACATTCAAGAAAATTGTAATTAAAAACCTATTAACAAATGTCAAAACCTCTGTAATTGAACTGCTCGAGGAAATAACGTTACAAATTCACCATGTTCAGCGAATGTTGCAAAGCCATTGTAAGTATTGTTTAATAAAGGCTTAAAACAGTTTTTAAAAATAATCTAAAAATTAAAACAAAAATGTTAAACCTTGTTTCTTTAAATATTTCTTGGTAAAATGGCTAAGCAGAGTTTTGGAACATTTTGAGCTTCTTAAATACGTTCACTGCCAGCGACAAGTGTACTCATCCCTCCAGGTGCTGCTGAGGGCGATAGGGATGACTATACTCATCAAAACCTGGTTACATTTAAGAGTTTATTACTTTATTGTTACACATTGTAGAACCACAGACTTAGGGCTGGTAGTTCGGGGAAGATACACCTAGACAATGCTTTTATTGTGTAATGTTGCCAGCAGTACACAAGATTTCATGTGTGGAGGCACTATCTGAACATATACTGTACTGTACCAAGCCATACAAAAACTAGATGAGAAAACTCACACTTGGCAGAGGCAATAAAAAGTACTGTCCCACTGCCAGCCATGAGTTTACTCATCCCCTAACATTTTACCGCCAATTATTAGACACACCATTTTGATGATGTGACTTGATAAAATTTCGAAAAAGTATGTTTGTAGGTGGGACAAACAAGGTCTGGAAGTCAACATGTTAAACAGCAGATTTATGGTATGTTTATAGGTTAAGATAAACCATTGATGCGAGATCTTATTTAACAAACTTCCTTAATACACACTGTATTTTGCTTAGGGTGGCAATACCCATGGCCAGCAATCTGAATTTGTAGATGGTTTGGTTTTGCATGCACATGGAAGTGGAGAGGAACCAGCTGATTTTCTAGGAGCTTTTGCCCCTTAATTTACTGATTCACTAATATATCTAGCCTAGGCGCTGTGAGCACTGTCAAATGCTAAGCTAATTCATTTCAGTATATTATATGGATAGTGCTAAATAAATGACAAAAAAATATTCTGTTGTAAAAAGCCAGCATATTTTTCAACCTACTACTTATAAGAAAAATTTCCACTTTGATATTTAAATAAAATAATTTAGAGCAAACGCAATTCATCAACGATAAAACCCTGATTTTGTATAACCGCTTTGAAATTAATCAAAAACTTTAATCATCAACATTTCAAGGGTTAAGTTTTCATTACTATACGTGCACAGAATGCATATTACGAGCTACAGTTGTCTGTAAAGGGCAAAGTTGAGGTTTTCTTTTTGACAACAAATACTGAGAAATTGAATGTAAAACAGGGTAAGATCTCCTACTTCATATTAATAATCAATTTATAGCATCAGCAGTGTAGAAAGTTAACTCAAATATTACCAATAAGTACTCTAATGAATATTTTCCAATTTCCGGTCTGTCTTAAGGTACTGAAACTGAAATAGATAATAAGAGTTACTAAAACCGCATTAAAGTACAACATTGACATAGAAAATATTTAAAGTGAGCTGACTATTAGTCAGTCATGTTTTTTTTTTTTTTTTTTTTTTTTTTTTTAGTCATTTTTTTTTTTTTTTTTTTTTTTTTTTTTTCATTCTTCTTTGCAGGTTTTTGTGTGTACTGCCCTCTGGGCAGTAGAAACTTTGAGCCCAGTTTGTCAATCCAGAAGTTAACTGTGAAGTTGAAGCTACATACTGTTTGGGAGAATTTGCTCTGCAATGTCAAATGTAAGTTCTACTGTATGCTTTATACTGTAGGTAGGCCTAGATTTTTTATTTCACTAAATTTGGCAATTCTAGGCCTAGGTAAAAGCTACTGATTTTAATGTGTTACTAATAAGTAATATCATTATTACGGTAGATAAAAATTTGTTCAGGCATTTCATTTTGGGTCTGTTTTTTTACATCACGTTTCAGTTTACATTACTTTAGTATAAATTAGTCTATAGTACGCTGGTGTCATTGGCACGCCGGTCAGAGGTCATAAACAGAGACTAGTAGGCTAGGGCCTACTAATTATGAGGGGTGGCACCAGGATTTGCCTGACGGGAGTCCAATTCTGACAAGAGCAAAGTGCGCATGTTTAGTCGTCACCTAAAATCTTTTGAAATTGGTCTTTGTGGCGAAGCCCCAAACATTTTGGATGAGTTGAAAGTAGTAAAAATAAAAGCAGTAGAAACATGCTCCAGCTGGGAGCCTGTTTTAAAATTTTTGTTGTGTTTTGTTATTATGTGGTTAATCATTTGGTTAGCAATTATAGTTGTATATGATTTGTATATCCGTCTATCATGATCAGATTAATGATCAATAATGGCAAGCGTTGTTATGCATCTGTTGTCTCCAGCGAAGTAATTAATAGACAAAAAAATAAATATATTAAACATAATAAAAACATGGATAGGGATGAGAGAAATTACCAACTTTCCAACATAAAAATTCCGAAGTCCTAAAACAGCAGGTAGAGGGCGACACAATATTGCACAATGGAGTGAACAGAACAACATGATCCTAAACACCGACAAATGCAAAGTCATGTGTATAACAAGGCGCAATATCCCATATCCCAGTTACCTTGTTGAGAATTCACCTTAGATTATGTACAGTATCCTCACACAAATATCTTGGCGTTACTTTTCCTTCCATCTAAAATGGCCCTCTCATATCGGAAATATTGTTTCAAAAGCCTTTCAAACCCTTTATTTTATTAAACGTACTTGTAAAATCGTCACCCCCCTCTCGTTAGTTTTATTCAATTCCCTTGTTAAGCCTATACTTGAATACTCGTCTGTCGTCTGGAACTCCATCTTCAAATCAACATTACACAAATTGAATCCGTTCAAAGAAATTTTACTCGATTCCTCTTGAATTCTGCTCACTATCCAAACAATACTGCATATATCAACTATGAAGACTGACTTGCCCGACTTAATCTTGCCTCCTTAGAATACAGAAGAATATTGCTTAGTCTCATTTTCATGTATAAAATAATTAATAACAAAATCCAATAGGACTCCCATAATTATATTTCATTTAATACCCTTAAACTGCACCCAATGCTCTATCTTCGTCATGCCCGATGTAATGCACTTCACAACTCTTTTTTTCACTGTATACCAATCACCTGGAACAGTCTCCCTATTTCAATATGTCTGACTCCTACAATCCAGTCTTTTAGAATATCATTAATACAACACCTTCATGGCAGTCCTGCCTACAAATCATGTTTTAATAATTAACTGAATTCACTTCAATGAAATATCTTGATCTCCATTCATCATTATTGTTATTACCAATATTATTACTTTTTATTATTTATTTATTACTATTATCTGTATAATTATTTTTATTATTATTATTATTATTATTTATATTATTCTTATTGTTATTATTATTATTATTATTATTATTATTATTATTATTATTATTACTGTATGTCTTTGCCTTTATCTTTGTTTCTCTGGTAGGCATCCTGTACAGGGACATGTTCCCTTTTTTGCCTACCAGACTCATTACGTTTTGAGTGAAATAAAATTATGAAATTATGAAAAAGATTAAAAGCATATTAAAAAAACACTGTAATTTATATAATTCACATTAATTCATGTTTAGATAAATGAAATATGCAAATTTAATAATGTAAAATTTAAATAGGATGATAAGAACTCTAAAACTAGACAAGTACAGTATTGTACTCAAACCTGTTCTTTGAACGGTAGAATAAAAGACATTTTTAATGCTTTTTGTAATTACTGGTTCCCCTGGTTGCACATTACTATGTGTAACCGTGGCAACAGAGTGCATGGCGCTTCTAATGAGAATTGAGTAGCGGTAGAATAACTATAAGAAATTAACCTTGAGACACTCTCAGTAATGTAATTGGTAATGAAATAACGATACAAACAACGCGAGAAATATTCTCTGTGGATGAATGAAATCGGCAGTTAATGTAACTATGGCAATAAATTTCAGAAAAAATTACGATTCACAGAGGGCTGCTTTTACGTCAAAGAAGTTGACTAACAAGTACATACTACTTTTCTTGAAAAAGAAATTTATAAAGCTGTGTAATTTATGTAGTCGTTACCACACCTTTTAATAGTTATGCACATGTAATTCTGGCCATGCCATGCTATTTCTAGTGGGATGTGTAGCGATACAGTTTCAAATCAACACAGCAAAACAAAATGAAATTTTTTATTTTAACAGCCAACGAATTGTCGATTGGGATTGCTTGTATAATTAAACATTTCTCTGAAATAACTTGTAAAGAACTGAATGACACTGCAGGGGCAGATCCAACATGGTAAGAAAAAGGGGGGGGGGGCTTAAATTTGTGAACTGAGTGAGAGTCCGAGTAAAGAGCTCCTGGTTGGGATGCAAGAGGTAAAACCCCTTAAACCTCTACCAACTTCATTAATTAGAGTTTGTATTTGATTGATTTTTATTACTTAGAATAGTAATTTTCTGATAACCTTAATTCAAACATTCTTTTTTATTACAAAATAGAGTGAGCATACAACCCTTACACTGCCTCCCCTTTTTAAATACATTACTAACACATATACACAAAGTTAGAATGAGGAATACATGGATAGACACATGCATTGCTAGTTCCGTGATATGGTAATTTTGGTACAGCAACAGTGGAGAAAGTTTAGGTGTGCTGTGAAAGCACCTAATACAGTAAATTTTAATTATTTTTTAGACAATAAATATATTTTTATAAACAATATATTAATCATACTGACAACATACCACGTACTGTAGGCCTATTATGAGCAGTAACTGATGGCGAAGGTGCTTTCTGTTTTCTTCTTTATGTGATGTCTAAACAATGTTTGATGACGTCTATAAAATATAAATGAATGATTAACATTATTTATTAAAAATTAAAATATAGTAAATACTTCGCAAACTAGTAGCAGCACTCTTGAACTACCATTTACACGAAAATCGCACTGTGCTCTAAAAAGACGACAGGAAAAAGGCCACTCAATCATGCCAGAGAGGGTGCAGTACTTGTTACTGATGGTGAACAGTTTTCTGTCCATTCGCGATTCCTGCTCTGTGGCATGTCCCAATGGTAGCTTAGCACAGGGCTTAGCACTCAGCCTAGCTAAAATCCTGTGAGGGAAATTGTAACACTTTGACACACAACGGATCACATGCTTTTAACTACTAATTTCTCACCCATATTTCCCAGACCTGTGCTACCAAGTCCTAAAAAATATACCCTGTAAATGCAACACCTAATATTTTATTTAAGAGTGAGGGCCCCTTCCCCACGGGGATGCAAACTCCGAGCTACTGGGCTGGAGCCTTCAAATATTAAGTTGGTTATTAATAATAACAAAAAGACAAAAAAAATTTTAAAAATCATCATTCATTTTTTCAGTGATACAGAACAGCCAAGTGCTTATGCTACATATGAATGGTGTTGTACACCCATAAATATGTATTATTTCATTTACTTGTTCTTCTCAAGGTTACTGTATAGTTCATTCAGTGTCCCAAATTTGCTTTTAACTGGATTTAGGAGCCAGGCCAAAAGGTACAGATAAATGCCCATATAATTTGAAAAATTAATAGTTTTATAAAATGCCCATATAATTTGAAAAATTATTAGTTCTATAAAATGACCTTTAACAAGAATGATATAAAAATGCCAAAACCTAACACTGAATAATGTAACATAATTTATTCAGATCTTGCTATACCGTAATAATGCTAAATCAAACCAATGGTTGTATATAAAACCAAACATGTATAAGATCAGTGCATACAGTAATAATATATAAACTGGTAAACTGTACTTGGCATGTTATCGATATAGTATTATACGGTATTAAAGCTAAGGACTGCGGTCAACATGAGAAGGGCAGTTAATTAGTGTCCATATATTAATTACTCAAGGTGGTATGCTTAGCAACTTTCAGACACGACATAGCTAATTTGTACAACTGAATACACAATACAACTCAATACACATAACACTTCAAACATGCAAATTTCACCTTTCAATGAAATTAAAGTTACATTTGATATTACAAAGTCAAAATCTATAATATTAAAAATGAATTGGATTATTTAAATGCAGCAAAGAGGAAAAAAGCCACAAGATGTATACAATATCATAATGATGTTGATAAAGGTGATAGTGTTTCGAAAGATAATGATGATGATGGTGTTGTCAAAGATGATAATGTTAAGAAAGATTAAAAGATGATGACGACATTGATAAAAATGATGATACTATGGTTATGATAACAAAGATAATTTTTATATTCATATTGATAAAAAGAATAATCAAGATGAAGAAGTCCATAATCTTCTGAAAATGTCAATAGAATATTGCATACTGCATCTCAATGCGTACTAAATAAGAATATGAATTTCGTTTTTGACGGATTATCTAAAATAATCTACTATTTCTAGACCTCACTTGATTGTCTTCTGTATTTCTCAGGGATTCCCATGTACCTAAATTTAATGTTTGAGAACTTGATGAATCTCTGGAAAAGTAGTCAGTGTTTGCAAGATAAAGCTACGAATCAAAATTTGCAATTACTGATAATGAATCGGATCAGGTTTGCGAAGAGATATACGCTCGCTGATTTCTTTCAGTTTCAATAATTTTGATCATAAATGCCTTGTTTATGCGGCATACAATGTAATATGTTTCATTCGATATTAGAATATTTTTTAATGTTGTTGAGAGCAATGCATAGTGAAGCTGACTGATGATACTATATGTCCAGTGTTGATTGGATTGGATTTATTCAGTGTAAATACCAAGGATAACTCACGAATGTCTAGAAGACTTATTTCCAGTAGGGTCCTTCTGGTGGTGATTGGACAGTACACCGGGAGACAATCCCCTACTCTTTTCCGAAGAGTGTACTGCATTTTTTAACATGCACATGGACCATAAATGCACACGAGACCAACAGCTTAAACGCCTCTTCCGAAAGACGGTGCGCTATTATAACTTGTATTTCAGCCCTTTAGCTGAAATACAAGGAGAGGCAGCAATGGGAAGTGAACCTAGAGATCTTCCCGGTTCAGTGCACATGCAGTGGCTACCACCAGATTAGCTGACTGAGCTAAGCTGCTCATAATTGATTAAAGATGATGATGATAATGATGATAATGATGATGTTTACAGATGATGTCCAATGTAGTTCTATGATGATGTTGATAAAGATAATTCATGATGATGATGATGATTATAATTTCAATCCCTGATAATGGCGTCCCATAGAAAATATGGACAGTCGCACAAATAATTTTTTTTTTTAAACTAGCAACAGTCTTTGGTTTCTGCATAAAAGCTTACAGTACTATTTGCCTCCTTACACTAAGTTAATGGACAATTATTTCTACATTCTATACATTATAAATTCTGATGTTAAATGGTGACCTGTACAGTACAGTACATCCTTATATGTGTCAAAGATCCAAGATGAAACTGCCTAGAATTTCTGTTTTCTAAATACAATGATTTTGTGCTCTAGAATTGATGAGTTTCGCGAACTTCCGCCACCCCTCCCTGCCTGGAAGTCCCTTGAAACCTTATTACCAATTATTTTCCCAGCTCACCCATAACGACCCCAAAAAAAATGAATAAATAAAATAAATAAATAAATGAATTTATTTAGTTTGTGAAACACAAGGAATAAAAAAAAGTCTCACCTTACAAACTATAAATGATAAAATAATTTTGTTGCAAAATGCTTTATGGTCGCCACGGGGCACAAGGAGAATGATTTGAAATGAAATTGGTAGCTCTGAATTACACGCAACACTAGGAATACTCCCCCAAGGAGAAGAAGTTTCAAATTGTGCTTGAATTCATTCTGTATCCAATGACAGGAAAAAACTGACTTGAGCAGTTCTTCTTGAAATTAAATATCGCTATATAATAAATCTTACAAAATGAAAAAAAAATCAATAAATAAAGGGTACTGCTGTGTTTTGTCACAAGAGGTAATTCAATTATAAACTGTTTAACAAAAAACACTGTAGTATATATTAATTGATATTTAGAGATGTAAACATTGGGATAATTCTGTGTGAACACAGCCTTTGGAGTGGTTGGACAAACCAATTCAGACTATTAATCTCTGTCCACACTATCAAATTTTCTTTGAGAAAAGACTGTTGTATGCCCATATATAGTCATGATGTGCCTATATATAGTC